TTTTGTACTATTGCTAAAATTGTTTCAAAAAGTCATTACCTATTACAAGGCTCTCAACAATAACTCCAAAGTTAGAAGGATCTAAATTTAAGAAAAAAATCATCGAAGCATCAAAGCATGTATCACTGAGAAGTCACAAAGAAGAGGCAAGAAACCCTCAACACAGAGGGTGAGCCAACTCTCCACACTCACTGCATCCTAGATATCTCTAAAATACTCTATCTCAAAGGCTGAGTATAAAGTTTCACAGGACACTTCTGAAAACTGACAAGACTGACTTACAGGACGTTGTACCACTAAAGTGATTCTTCTTTACTACTGGCAAGCATAAAGACTTTTCACTCTGGTGTTATGGCTCTCTGAATGGCAAAACAAATGTGAAACATCTTAGTCACAGTAGCTACTGGGATGTTTCATGAAATCAGTCTTTTGCTATAGCATAATGCTCTATCTCTTTAAGAACATTTATGTTAGTCATCCTGAATAACAATCTAAAGTATATTATGTAGATTACTGCACTCTTAAAAAGATGTTCCCAAACATGATTTAAGTTAATTGATGAACACTCATTACTAGGCTTTCAGATCTGGTCCTGCACTGAATGCCCCCAGACATGCTAGTCAAGCTTTGAATATTTATTTTTGTGTCTTGCAGATTATCTCTATTATCCTCACCAAGCTGTTATGTTTTTTTCTTACAATAGGCAGTAGGCTACCAGTTTCCCATCCTCCTATCTACCCCCCACTACACCCCGCTAAACCTCACACTACTCATAATCTACTTGTTTGTAATCTTCTGTGGGCTTTGAAACCAGATAATGTTGCTTGTTAGAAATATTTAGGAAATGATAACAGGTTCTGACTAAGGATATGAAAGGCTCCCCTATGCTTTAAGGCAGTAGTGGTAAACCTATGGCAAGCTTGTTGTTTTCCTTTTAAGACAAAAGATGTTAATGTATGAGTTTTTTCTGAACTAAAACCTCAGTATTCAGGTTTAATTGCAGTGCTGGCACTTTGCAATAAATAAGTGGGTTTTGGGTTGCGGTCTGGGCACTTGTCTTTAAAAGGTTCACTCACCATCACTGCTTTAAGATACAGACTTGGGGGCCGGGGATTTAGCTCAGTGGTTTCACTGCCTGCTGTGCAAGCAAGCACAAGAACCCTATCCCCAGTACCAAAAATAAAAATTAGTGTGGAGATTCCTCAAAAAACTACAATTAGAAACCAGCTCTTCCCCTTGCCAGGGATTTAGCTCAGTGGTTTCACCGTCTGCTGCGCAAATGCAAGGACCCGAGTTCGATCCCCAGTACCAAAAAAAAAAGATACAGACTCGGACAATTTTGCAGCCTTAGGCCTTTGTTGCTTAGTGTCTTTTCAAATGCATTTTATAACAGGTCAAAGATTATAGTGTAGGCCTGTAGGCAAATCATTTGGATTAGGAAGACCCCAAATAACAAAAACCCACAATCAGAAAATAGTAAAAGAGATTATTTGGGAGAATTCTTATGTCTCAAGCACTGTTCTAGGTACCTTAACCAAAATCACTTAATCTTTATAATAACTCCTACCTCTTAATGTTATTACCTCTATTTCCAGTCCAAAAACCAAGACTCAGGAAGTAATTTACCCAATATCATAACTGAGAAACCATGTATCAGTATAGGACTCTATGGCTCCAAAATCCAAGGCCATCCTACTATGTGAGATCTCTGCCCAATCTTTATTCTTGGTTTAATGAATTTTTGCCCATTATTTTTGATCCTTTCCCTGGAACCCAGGTGATTCAAGTTAGCTTTCTTTCCTTAACCACATTCTGGAACTAAAGGGAAATGGTTAATCAAATTGAGGCCAAATTAAGATTAGCTTTCAAGTATACATCTGCTCAGCAACAAACATGTTTCTGCAAGACTGGCCATATCTTCAGCTGTATAGACTGTGCAAAACGGTTTGAGACCCCCACCCCCACACTGCTTGTTCCCCTTGGCATTTTGGGTTAACACTTCACCATCTTTCCTAGTGCTGTCATTTGACAGAAAAAAAAATGCAAATATATTTTTTAAACTGTCTCCATAATGAATTTATTGTATGCTCCATCAATTTGTACATTAACATAATAAATTTTCTTCTCTAATCGTTGAGGTCTGGGGCAGGGGACATGAAGAGTTTCCACTTTCCTAATTCCTTTAAGGAACCGGGTGCTTGTTAATCGTTAAAATCTTTATTGCCTAGTCCAAGGCCTGACACAGAGAAAGTTGTTTGTGGAATAAATTCCACCTGTCCAGTAAGTACCAATCATTTGCTGAATAAATACATAATCTCTCCTGAACTGGTCTGAATTCTTCACATTTCACATTTTCTGACATACCTTTGCAAAACTTGGTGGAAAACACCTTTCCTCTTATGGAAACTAAGGGCCTAAAAATGGCTCTTCTATATCCCTCAAAAAAACCCCAAACCTAAGAAGACATGCCCCTCCACCCTCTAAAATGCTTCTTGTCCTAAGAATGTGAATAAACTTCCATCTGCCTGACTGCACTAAATACAGCTTTTACATCCATTACGAAGGAACACCTGTATAAAAAAGCTGCTAGAAAACAATGCTTTTGGAGACCTAAGGCACACCCAACAGAATCAAACCCAAACAATAAGGCAAACTTTTTGACCAAAAAAGTCAAAACTGACAATACAATATTTGCAAAGTATAAAAACTCAAAGTCTCTGACCAGCAGTTTAAGCAGCTAAACTGAGTGTGTTTTCTTCTATCTACACATTTACCCCAATGTAAAGTAATACTATGGAAACATTATTCTAATATTCACAATATGAAAATGAAAGGCGACTTCTTGCTCCCTTTAAGTAAAAACAACCTCTGTTCCTACTAAAGAGAACTACTGAAATACACAAGCCATCCCCAATATTCCTACATAAGAGTTAAAATACATAGCCTTGCCTGACAAACCACAAACAACAGGAAATTACCCCGCAAAGTCTCTTACATGACTAGTATTTCATGAACTTTACAGCCTGGTAGAGATTTCGGTTGAGGTAAGTTACAACCTTGAAAAACCAAACTGTTGAACACCTACAAGGTGAAGAAACCATTTTAGGTGTAGCTGCACAGTATAAAACCAATGCTCCATGAACAACTTATGTTTCCAATCACATTAATTAAACTAGCCCAATAAGAGTCCTTAAATTCAAGATGTTAACATCAAGAAACTTTAAGTAGGCACTCACGTTAGAAATGCCCACAGATGAGATTTATATTTACTATAAAAACGGCAAAATCTAAGTAACTCTAAAAATAAATTCTATATTACTTTCTGAATTTAATACAAACATCTGCTACCTGACCTTTCTGGTATGTACCTTGTATGACTATTTTTTAAGACAAACGAAAAGACCTTCAAACAATGACACATTTATGAATATCATTTAAAATTTCTCCCATCTCTACATCTGCTTCACTAACTCTTGCACCAAAACTGTTCAAGTTTCATTTAACTATTTGACTTAACACTTCTCTGCAGGAGGGAAATTTTTAAAAAGGGATCAAAAGTAAAATAGCAGATATATTTTCAGCATAACAGCAAGTTTAACTATATATTTGCCTCAAGGAAAGTATCCTTCCTACCAGTGGTACAGGTTTAATTCACATAAAATCATAAATGAAAATGAAAGGGAATTCTGAAAATTAATTCACATTTCTGGGCATCATTTTCTAAAAGATATTCCATGTAAGTTTGCCTGATTATTTAACAATTGTTTTACATACGTCATTTTAAAAGTCTAAAAAAAAAAAAATCATAACGTTAGATCATTCCAAACACTAACAAGACTGCTGGAAAATACTGCTTCCAAATTCTGGCGTTTTTAAAATATAAAAGTCTAACTGACAAACGGGTTTTACCTTTTAAGTCAAGAGGAAGGAATAATAAAATCAGCCTACATGTTGTTTTTCTTTTGTTTAGGGTCCCAAGGAAAACGTATAAGCACTTAAGACAAAAGTAAGTGAACCCAAGGACAGTATTCCCCACCAGAAAACAAAACCTTCCCACTAGCAATTTTTAAAGCAAGTCTGAAATGCGTGAGATCAATGAACGTCCTTTCTAAAGGCGTGTGGTAGATAAAAACTAACAGGCTGCACCCACAGAGCAACTTTCACAAGTGTGCTGAGGATGATCTGGGCAGAGTTATCAGCCGTGAACGTGTTTGTGAGTACACACAGCGATTCACAGCTCGCGACTATTATGGTTAACAAAGGTTACAGGACAAAAAAAAAAAAAAAGTGGAAGCAAAGTATCATACGGTCCTAACTCGGCTTCCTAACAACTCCTACAACAGCTCTGGCCCTTCAGCTTGAAAATCAGAACCACAAACTAACCGATGTGCGAGCCGCGCTAGGCAAGGGACGCGGGCGGCTAGCCAACCAGGCTGGGCGGGGACTGGAGCGCGCAGCCCCATTCCCCGGCGCCGACCCCGGCCCGCGCGCCCGTGGCCCCGGCCTCGCCACACCCCAGCCCCCAGCCCCCACCCGCCGTGGCCCTGTGACACGCCGGCCGGAGCCGCACACAAACACACCCCAACCAGAGGCCCGCGGGCGCCCAGGCTTTACCTGCACCCAGGCAGCAGGTCCCGCCCCGTCAGATCCAGGGGGTCCCGGACCTTTTGTTCCTTCCTCTTCCGATGGGATTGGAGGAAGCTTGGGAGGGGAAGAGGGGAATGGGCGATTGGAGGCGGAACTGAAAACACTCCGGGCCGCCGTGCCCCCGCCCCGCCCCGCCCCGCCCCCCAGGGCCCAAGCCTGGCAGGCGGCCCGGGCGAGCGGAGCTGAGGGAGGAGGGAGGGAGGAAGGGGAGCGAGGAGGGGGTCCGGCCGCCGCCCGCGGAGGAGGGGGTGGGGACACCGCCCCTCCTCCCCTCAGGCGCGCGCGCGCCCGCCGCCCCTCCCCTCCGCTCTCCTCCCCTCCCCGCGCGGCCGCGCCCTCGCCCGCTGGCCCACCTCCGCTTCCGCCCTCCGTTTCTGCTGCTGGCCGCAGTGCACCCACCTCCGAGTGGCTCGCTCGGCGCTCGGAGGCTGCAGACTGGCGAGGTGCTCCTCCGCCGCCGCGGCCGCGCGGTAAACCCGCCTCCCACCCCGGGCCGCGAGCCCCGCCGATTCGCCGGCGCAGCCCCGGGGCTGGCACACTGCCGCCCGCTGATTGGCGACCCCAGACGCCCGTTAGGGTGCGAGGCACGCCGGCCCAGCGCAGCGCGGGGCGCGCACGGAAGAAGGGAACAGAGGAGGAAAGGAAGGAGGCTGAGCGCCGCGGGAAGGGCCCGGGGCTGAGCGGGGCTCGCGGACTCGCGGGCCAACGCCTCCCTTTGCCTTCGGCCCGCCCCGCCTCCCGGCCGGACCGGCGGCACGCGCAGCCAATCAGCGCGCGGGGAGCTCGGGGTGTGAGCCGCGCGTCGGGGGCCTCGAATCGGAAGGGAGACGTCGCTCGCTGATTGGTCCCGCCTCTCCCCTCGAGCGTGAGGCGAGGCGAAGCCGGGCGGGGTGGGACGCCCGCGGTTTCACTTAAGTTAGTCCTGGCGCGCACTCTCGAGGCTCGGGGAGAAGTAGGGAAAGCCAGCAGCCTGCAGCACTGGGAAAAGGACGCCTGACGACCACTCGGGACCCTTCCGGGCCCTTGCCAGCGCCACTGGATCGGGCCTCTGTGGAGTCGCCGCCTGGTCCATCTTCCTTCGTGAAGCCGGGAGTGAACACGTGCTCAACCCCGGGGAGGCCCCGTGCGGGCCGGGAGGACAGAATGCGCCTAGGGCTGAAAGGGCTTTAGAGGTTCCGGATGCCTGCTCCCCGCTGGGCGCTCCCGTATGCAAATGAGTGGGCGGGACAGGGATGTAAATAAGCCTGGATTGGGGAATCTTTTATGGGTAGAGAGATGCCAGGTATTTAACTTAACCTGAATCTTGGTCCTTACCCGGAAAGGTCATTGTGAAGCCTATGAGTATGGACCTTAATTGCTGGTTTATCTAACCCTTCTTTTTTCCACTGTTTGGGCTATGTTCCTAGGCCCCAATTTGGCACAGTTTGACCTGCACGAAGCTGCGAGCACCAAAACGTAGGGCTGCCCATGATAACCTTGTTGCTTTTGATTTTGCGACCTCCAAGCCCCTGCCAATGAAAGATTGAGCCGAATCACATCAAGTATTCCGCGCCTACTGTTTTAGGGCATACCATAGAAACAAAGTTGAAAAAGAAACGGAGTTTCATACAGGTAGTTGATGGCAGAGACAAGGCTAGAACCCTTTTCTGGGCAGCTTGTCCAATACTCATTCTTTAGTACTTCCTCGTGAATTTACTTAGAGATTCGAGTTATGCCACAGAGCATCGCTAGCAATACATATCAGTAATTAGGAAGTACCAAATGAGCATTTCAAGCAGTAAGAGTTTCTTAAGTATACTGTTCCCAGAAATGAGGGCATACCAGTGGAGAGGGACTTCACATGGACCTTAACAGATGCAGTATTTGCCATCTCTTGAGTCTTACAGGTTTTCCAAATGTCCTTTAAAAACTTTATTTCCACCATCTCTTCAAACATGGAAGTATTCTCATGGGAAGGTTGTGATGAAGAGCATGAATGCTAGACCCAGATGAGTTGTAGTTTTGCATATAGCTGTGTTCGAAAACTATGATCTTTGGCAAAGTGGAGCTCACTTGCAATGATGCCTACTTAGGTATAGTTTGTGGTGATAAAATAATGTGAAAGAGAATGGAGTAGGGCTTTAAAATTAAAGTCAACAATACTAATTTTCTGTTACAAACATTTATGCTAAGATAAACCTCGGCAGAAATTCATCCTTCAAAAGTTTGCTTCCACACCACAAGAACAACAAGAAGGCATGCCACAGTGGTCAGGTGAATGCAAGGAGTCTGAAGGGTGCTGCTGGAAACACATTGTTCTGAGCACATCATCCGCCCCGTCTCTGACTGTGGCCACCACAATCTACATCTGCATCTGTCAGCCACTGTGTCTGATTCCAGGCTGAAAATGCTCAGAGGATGCAAACAGCAGCACCTCTTGGGACTCAAGCTCAACTTGCTCCTAAAATGTGGGCTCAACCTGTTTCAACATCATCCAGAACGCTTTGTTTCCACTCATCCCAGAGGAAGAGTGTGTGGAGCAGTTCTGGTGTGGCTGTTGCAAAAGCTACACGCCTGTCTCTCTGACAGTGATCTATCATCCCATCCCCCACGAGTGTGGGACAGATGACCTAAATGAGGAAGAACAAAGCAAGCCTTCCATCCCATCCCAGGTGAGACCCATTGTTACGCCCACTGACCCAGGCAAGGGCACAATCCCTGGTGCCCCTGACTCAGCACCCATCACCATCTGGCGCTCTGAGAGCCCCCCAGGGAAGAACCAGGGCAATAAGGTGATCAAGAGGTAAACAAGAAAAAGGAAAATGAGAAAGACAAAGAGGAGGAAATGACATGAGAAGGCAAAGCTGAAGAAAAAAGCCAAGAAGGGCAAGTTGAAGAAAAGTCCAGTGAAATCGGAGTCTTCGCCTGCAGATTTGAGCCAATCATTAAGCCCAGGAGAGTTGGCCCAAATGTCAGAGTCCAGCTCAGAAAGCCAAGGAAACCTGGAGAGTGAAGACAGTCACCATAACAGGAGGCAGGAGGAGCCCTCCAGTGAGGATATTGTGGAGTCGTCATTGCCCAGAAAAAGAAGAGCACTACCCAGGCCAAGAAGAATGGGACAAAGACCACTTCACAAGCCAAGAAGGTGACCAAGAGGAAACCTTCCCATGTCCAACCCCAATCTCAGTTGAGGGCAGGGTGAAGAATAAATGGCATCAAGCTTGTAGCTGACCACCTGCTGCTGTTCGCCTTCCAATGGGGTACTTCTTGTGGGAAGCAGTGGGCTGTAGGCATACTGGAGCCAAGGGTCAGGGACTACAGGGGTTTTCTAAGGGCAATGCAGCTTCCAAGGAAGTCAGTCCATAGGAAGATAGGTGGAAGGGAAACAGAGAGGGCACAGCTGTTTTTTGTAACATCTAAGGACCAAGGTGGAAGAGTACCTTGGGTTGGGGCATGAGGTTACGAACTTGCCCAGGCTGGATAGATCCAAACTTGTGATCCTCCTGTCCCAGTCTCCCAGAGTGCTGGGATTACAGGTACCTGCCACCACACCTGGTTCTAATAACCCCTTTTATTTTTTTAATAACAATTTGTGATGCAGACCCAGGAAGCCAGCTGATGGATCTTCTCTTTCGACTTTCCAGAACCACCAGGAAAGATGGTCTAGACTAGGGCAAAGGCTGTTCAATTTAAAAGCAAAAAGGCTGGTCCTGTTTTTGGTCCTCCTTTGTGCTGACACAAGTCAAAGCTTCAATATAAAATGTCCTATTAAAAGCTACCTTTAATTACACAAGTATTTTCTCCCATGTGAAAAGTGTGTGGATTTGGATGCTTTCCTGGGTAGTAAGAGTGGGAACAAAAGCAGGGTTAGATGAGATTCCAGAAGAATCTGCTTCTGGTGTGGGAATGACTTTACTCTGAGGTACATTAATTCAGTGGGTAATATGCCTAGGTCTAACTTAAACCATCTCCAAAGTGTCAAGCCATTGAATCTGTACCTGTTTAAGAAACCTTCCAAGATCTAGAAGATTCAAGAAGAGGGGCAACCTAGCTACTAATGCAGTCTCCTTAAGGACTAGAAATGGGAGCATGCCTTCTATCCCCTCAGTTAGAAATGCATCTAAACCAAAGTGGGTCAAGACAGAAACTGAAGGCACATAGAGCAGAGATTGCCATGGCAACAATCAGCTTGGAAATCCACTAGGGTACCTGAAGATCTATCAGTGGCTCCCTATTGTATAAGTTATATTGAGTCTGATTTTTATATGGATACTCAGCAAGTTTAACTCTTTATTACTCATGCCACTGTAAAAAGCCTACATCAATTCTGAATCTATAGATATTTAAATAATGTAAAGATACATTAAAAAAAATGGTAATGGTAGTTGGTGCTGGAAAGAGCCTGAGGGTCATGAGTAGGTAAGTTAAATCTCATCATTAGTACTTCTGCAATTTGATTTTTTTGAAAAATATACCCATGTCTTGATTTTTCTGAAGATATGATTTATATTTCATCTCCTGTCTGGTAAATATGTAAAGCCCTTCCTGGCTACCCTAGCCCAAGCTATATTACTCACCTATGAACTTTTTCTCTTACTATCAAGATATTCTTATACCATGACTTTGCTTTTTCTTGTATTTTTTTTGATCTATTAGTTTAGTCTTGAGCAGTTTCTTAACCTCATATGAATATAATTTTGTGTCCACATCTAAATTATAGATTCCTAAAAGCCAAGAGCAGCTTATTCTCAGTTGCCTTCCCACACTCTTAGCAGAATACTAAGTAATGGAAAAAAGGTCAAGTACAGCATTTGTATAACAGAAAAATGATATGTATGTCACAGGTCTACAGTCCTTCTACAAGTTTTGCCCCATTCAGTTTTTAGTTGCCCTCAGTATAACTGTCAGGTCTCTTGTGAACATCCACACTATATCTGCTCATCTTGGACTAAATTGCAGTGCAATAAGTACATTCTAAGGAAAGATCCGGTTATTTGCAACTGAAAGGATGATTAAGATAATAGGTAAAAGTTTTAAAGGACAATGGCATGTTACTTTTACTATATTGTAAATTATAATGAACACCAGCTGGGTTTGTATACTGATACAATGAAATTTAAAATTGTAAATGAATTTATGTTAAGAATGTGTACATATACCATTACACACACACACACACACACACACACAATCCTTATTCTCATGCTAGTTTTTACTGAAAATTCAAAGTATTTAACACTTAATGGGAAATGCTGGGCCCAAGAATAAGACATAGTATCTGCTATGTACCAACCATAACAGTGTAGTTGATCACAGTGGAAAAGTTCTCATTCTTTGGCCAGTGTCATTCAAAGATAATGAGGCATAAAGATAGGCCTTTTGGAACTGAAAAAAGATTGAAAGGGAATTGAGCTCTGCTTAAGAGAAAAATATCTGGCTAAGAAAGCTATATTTCTCATTCTTCTGGCATAGATTGTTATATTACTTGAAAGGCATAAGTGATTATTAGCTGATGATTGGCTGACTAATCCAATGACTGAATATATTACTTGGAAAATTACGATATAATTCCAATGCAATAAGTATCCTCATGAAGGGATTTACCTATTATCTGAGATCTACGTATTTTGGAAAAAGACTAAGGACTAATTTCTAAACCCTGAAAGAACAATATACAAATTGTTTAAAGGTCTATTGTGAGGGAAGATAATATGGTAGTCATAGGTCAACTACAGGGCCTTAGGCCTTGGTTATAATTTTCTGTGTGTGACAGTATTGGCTGAGCCAGGATGCTACTAGGCAGGATAAGTTTATGAAGGTATACTCTTGGAAAATTTCAAACATATTAGCATAATTGCACTGACGAAGACTGAAGAGCTTATTTAACATAGCTGACTATAGTAGACAATAGATGCATAATCAGTGTCCTAATGATTGAATTAATGGGCCCCCCTTGTTTGTCCTTACTATAAACAGCCCTTAGCAATAAAAAAAAAACATTTTGCTGGAAGGGTCTAACAATTGTGTTGTCTGTTGAGTGGCCAGAATGTAATTGATGGTGGGAAAGAGTCAATTATTGGGTCATAAAAATGGCAATGGTTGACTTCAAAGGATAGATTATATTGATAAATAGATTTAACATAGGCTTCTTTTTGCTTTTTTTATTATGAAGCCTTATTTTGCGTTTAAGGAAACAGGTCCAGGCTTCCTTAAAAGTCCTCTGGCCACTTAGTAAGGATCATGTACATAACATCTTCCTTTTCTGCTCTGGCATGTCCACTAACTCCTCTCTGTCCCCGATCTGCACCCACTCCGTACTGCAAAACACTGTTCTGAAACTTTGCCACTTTTCAGTTTTCCAGTTACTATTACTTTCTATGCATATATGCTTGCCAGCTATTTCACATTGAAAACAGAGGCAAATTTCCTACCCATACCTGAACCCCCAATGATAAACAATTTTATCTCTCTCCAGATACAACCACCCACTTGTGTGAAAGATTTGCTCCTCCTTCTGCAGAAGTCTTTTTTCCTCTGCTGGCTGGCACTCTCTTTGATTGACCACTTAGTCTAGATTAGCATTTTCAACACACATATACACACATGCGCACACACACACCAGTCACACATCATATTTTAAATTTTTTCTTCAAAACTGTATCACAATCTGGAATCATCATACCATTTATTTATGTACTGATATATCATTTGTCATCCCTCACCACTGAGTGTAAGTTCTGCAAGAGAAGAAAACATGTCTGCTTTGCTCAATGTGGTATCCTTCAGCTTGTCTGTTTGGTCAGCAGTATCCTTAATTGAAGCATACATGGTGGCATTCAATAAATATTTTGAATGGATAGGTATTTTTTTCCTCAAGTTCATTCAGACTGAGTGTGTAAAACTGAACTTAATAATGATTAAGTTCTATTTTCCTTTGTAGTTGTC